GCACCTGCCTGGAGTAGTGTTCCTGTGTATTTGGATTAGGGGAGCCAGCATTTCAATCTTCTTTCTGTCAATTTCAAGTTAGGGCTCTTGGCTGAGTTCTCATGTGTGCATATGGTTGGGGAATAACATGACCAACCTCCCAGGGAGACTGTAAAGATGAGAAAAATATCCATTAAAACATATGTTGAGGTTTACACCCTTTAAAAGGTTCCGTGAAATAGATTCTTGAAAAGAGTAGTGGCCATGATTTTAACCATTCACTCTCAATGTCTGCTTGAGCAAGACTTCCAAAGCTTTCCACCCTGTTTGTTCCTCTCTCAAGAAGCTAAAAAGACCCCTGCTTCCTTTTACAGGAGTCTAAAATCCTTTCCGCTTACCCACTTTTTCCTGTAATTTGAACCCAATACTACTCCTGCAGCCTCCTCCAGCCCCAAATGCAGAATGCTGAGATGTCATGGTCTCAGATCTGTGGGAAATACAGAGTGTGCCTGCCAATCCTGAGGAGAAAACCTTGCCTCTGATAGCCATGGTTGCAACTCTCTCAGGTGAGTGACTCAAACTGGGGGGAGATGGAAGCAAGGTGCCAAGGGGAGAAATGCGAAGTACGAGTGAGGGTTCTCATAATAGTCTTCTAATTTCAGCTCTAGGAACAGCGAGAGTCAGAACAGTACTGACTAGGACCCTGTGATAATCCAGTCTAGATAATACTTCCTGCTTTGCACCATCATCGTAGCCTCTGTGGAATGTGACCTTCATGTACGTGCTCGGTTCCTGACTGTAAGGAGATGGATCCTCCACCCCTGGTCAGAACAGAGGAGTCAGAGCTGAGCCTCAGCCCCACGATCTCCTTGCTGTGTATTGGGGCAAGGAACAACATCATTGCATCCCACACTCCTCCCCCATGAGGTGTGGATGAAGACAAGCTCCTCTCGTGCCATGCTGTGGGATGTATGGAGTGAAGGGGGCAGGGGAGGGCTGAGCTCCAAGCGCATTACATAAGCATCAGCCCTGGTCATTACTGTAGCCCCAGGTAAATGCTAACAGTTGCTGCTGCATATATTGTCTCGTTTGATCCTCATGAAGACCCTGGGAGGTCCATTACCATCTCTTCTTTATGGATGATAAACTCAAACTGAATGGAGCCTTGGGAGGCACAGCAATTTACCCAAGGTCAAAGAGCTAAGGAAAAAAACACCCTGTAGGCAATTAGTCACTTCCCTTAGGAGGTATGACCTCATGGTACATTCCTCACTCTCCAAAGGGACTGTCCTTCAAGGGATAGCTCAGGCCAGGAAAGGGCAGCACCTAAAAGAGGCCAGAGGCGTGGGCTAAGCAGCCAGAAAGATCTGATCAATAACATTGAGTCATTCAGTCTTCATAGATCCTTCTCAATAAGATGGGGATAGTAGAAAGTGCCTCACGCTTGATATATTACACGAACTAACGATTATAACACATGATAAGAGGGACCCATTATACAAACAGCCCAGGATTCTCGACCTCTCCTTCTCCAGAGGCATACAGTATCCCTCACTCTTACATCTGTTTAGTACTAAGCCATCCCTACATCCTTTCACTTCCCCTTCTGACAGGACACCAGGTCTATCTGTGTACACTCCAGGTCCATAGATTGAATACTTGGTCACCAGCTGGTGGTACTATTTTAGAATGTTCTGGGATTGTTAGGAAGTGGGGCCTGATTGGAGGAAGCAGGTCAGCAGGGCCATGCCTTTGAAGGGCCTGCCTTGTCCCCAGTCCTGTCCTCTCTGTCTGTACCCCACGTTCCATCTGCTGTCACAGACATGATGCTCTCACCTCACCAAAGGCCCAGAATCAGCAGAACCAACTGCAGTGACACTTCCAAAGCTGTGACGCTAAGTTAATCTTTCCACATTTACTCTGTTTTTACAGGTATTTCAACTATGGTACAGCTGGCCAAGTACCTGCCACGCAAGCAGGAGCACCTCAGATCAGATCTTCAGGTGCCATGTGAGCGGGGTACATCAATGACCGTCCATAACCTCAGGGGCAGGAGGTCCCTGGAGCTCACTGGCTAGCTGGTCTAGTTGAACTGCATGTTCATGGAGAGACCAGCTGGTCTCCAAAAATGAGATGAAGAGTGATGAATCTCTGTCCTCCACATGTTCATGTGTGTCCCCACACAGCTGTATGTATGCCTATATAAACACATAAATACATGCACACACACACACACACACACACACACACACACACACACCCTATACACAAAGGTTTGGAGTTCCGGCTCTCTCCAGGATTCTTTTGCTATCTGTTTTGTTTTTCTTTTTCTCTTTTCCCTTTCTCTTTTTGCTATGGACACATCTGAGCATATTTAAACTTCATGAAATTATTAAGGCTCCCAGACACTCTTGTGTCGATGGGGCCTGGCCCATTGAATGCCATAGCAACCATCTCCCCCTGCCCCACTCCTGCCCCCTGCTCTCCTCCACCCCCAGGTGCTCTATCTCTAATCTCAGCCAAGCTTGGCCCCCAGTGCATTTAGACAGTGGCAAATGAGAACAGACCAGGGCTTGGAGGCACCCCACAGGGCCTCAAGAGACCTAAATGCCATAGCCAAATCTCTAGGCCATGAACCCCAGTCTCTTCATCCTTCAAAGGAGGCTTTTGTCCTGAGAGGTACCCAGAATCCTTCCTACTGTCTTTTGAGCAAACACTAAGATATTCTTTACATACTATAAATATAAATCATTAATCATGGCAAACAATGCCTATTAGAACCATTTAGTTCCTTATGTAATCATCTCCTCTCTTGATCTTCATACCATTTACATTCTCCTAAGAAGCAATTTTGTTACCCAGTCTGGCAGTTCTGTTGCTTGAGTTATTTGCCAAGTTGCTCTATCACAAGTCAGTGAGATGCTGTGAAAGTAGCACCAGCTAGTAAGGAACAGGCTTGCCTTTGTGTGTGCATGAGTTTCCACACTGGCGACAGTCACCAATGTCCTACTATCTTTACAAAGGTCAGTGACACTGTTGCTTTGCTAGATAATGGGCATGCTGTCAAACGCCTTCTAAACATTTATGTTTACAGTTTAGTATAAATCTCTCAGCCTTTGGTCAGAAAAGCATCCTGTGTAGTGGGCATCCGTCACCATACAGACTCCTAACTGGACATCCGCATCAACCCCAACCCAAAGGCTCAGGGGAACATGGTGAAAGAAGGGACAGGGAGAATGACAGAGCCAGAGCATGGGAGGAAGACTGTAAGATGATGGTTTCTGGCTATGGCATGGCCTCGTGCTCCAGAACCCACTGCAGCTGTGCTTTCCCTGCACAAGACCGAGCCTGGCAACATTCTATCATGGATGGGGGAGTTGCTTTTCTTCAATGACTTAGCTACTGTGACTGGCCCATCATCCAGTAAATAACCCTAAAACCCAAGTCCATGCTCACATGGGCAACCCAGGCTAAACTCATTGTATCATGAAAAAAAAAAAAAAAAAAAGACATGAAAATAGAAGAACTCGCTGGAAAAAAAAGCTCAGAAGAAATGAGAAGTATAAGAGTAATAAGGGTAAATATTATCAAAATACTCCGTATACAGTGTGAAATTATTAAATAATAGCTAAAGCATCACTGATGTGTGTGTGTGCGTTTAAATTTCCCCTTATCTTTCAGACTCACAAACAGAAAAGAGAATCATGGGGTTTGTTCTGCTCAGACATGGTAAAGTCCATCCCTGGAAACATCTATACCTGATCAATTGACAGTTGCTCCTCAAGTGCTGCATTGGGAGAGATACTCCGGTCCAGCAAGGGGCATCCAGCCATATCTGACATGAACACGGTGGCAGAGTCAGTGCAGGGCCACTAGTGAGCCATCCCAGCCTGTGTCACCCTCTAGTCTGCAGATAGAGAAGTTATATTGCTCTCCTGAGATTGATGAAGCCTGCACTCATTGCCGTTTGTACTCTCTCAGCTTCCCAGCTGCGGCACTGTTCTCGCTCTACCACTGAACTGAACTGAAGACAAGACATGGTTGTGAAGAGCACCAGATGGAGACTCATGAGGGTCATGGGCTTCTCAGAGAGAAGAACCAGGGCAGCAGGCAGGAGAAGAGGCTGTCCACGCCTAGCTGGGGGACATCATCACTGCCGCTGTCACTGTTCTGTGGGAGTCTGCCAGAGTGGTTTTTAAAACTTCTAATGAAGACACCAGAGTCAAAGAGTCCCTAGAGAAGGAAGAATTGGTTGTAGATTATAGCCAATGCACTCTGCCTGACACAATCATTATGCTTACATGTGACACCGATCAGTTTTACACATATGTGGGAATGTCAGAGACTTCCATGCAGGAGTACTTGGAAGGGAAGGAGTGCCAGTCAATGGTATATGACTCTATGAGCCAGTGTATTCCCAGCATGCTAAATCTCCACCCCTCTTTCTCTGATAATAGGATTTTCATTAATTTTTGAGAAGATATCATCTATTACTCCTGCTTCAAGGGTTAGGCAGGTGGAGACATCTTCAGGAAAGGACATGCTACCAACCAAAGTGTCACAAATAGTGCCTAGTTCAGGAATGCTCACGTGATATAATGAGAGCCAATGCGAGTCAATCACAAGCTTCAGTTGGATCCCTCGGAAGAGACAGAATCAGGTGACATCAGCCTGGAGAATGAGGTGGACTCGTCAGGGAACCTTTACACTGGGATACCCACAGAGCGGCACCAATGAGCAAGATGGAATCAGAAGAGAGACACAAATCAGGGCTGATGCCCTTGTCTATGTACCAGTGCACAGCCATGCTTGGTGGAGAAGGAAGTCCCCAAATGCATCCGTTACGGGAGCCACTGAATCCCACTGCCTTCTCCTTCACCTTTTATATTTGAGTTGGGTTTTTTGTCATTCATAGCAATGATAACAACAGTAGACTCCTGCCCAGCATGATAGATATTCATTTCCCACATGATACTGAATCTAACATTGCTGTTGCCACTCATTCCAAGCCATCATGTTACCTGCAAGGAGCCTTGGATGTCTTTTCCCCCAACAATCACGAGCTCCGCCATATCTTCAGCGTGAGGAGTCCGTGCATGGACGAACAGGGTCCTGCCCACTGCAGTTATGTTTCTGAGAGCGACTAGGGCGCCATCGCTGTTCACCTTGAAGTATGGGCTTGAGACCTCATAGTGCAGCTTCTCATTGCCCTTGCAGTCACTGAAGGTCACTAAGGAAAGAAAACAAACAGCAGAAGGAAGGTGAGTAGGTTGGACATCTTCATACTTGAGATGTCTCTGATCTCTTAGCCATGGATGGATGGCTGTACCATGATACCACAGAGCTGCCCTCTACCCTGATCCAAGCCACTTGTTTCAGAGGCACATGGACTATGCTAGTGGAGTTTACACAATCAAGACACAACCTTGGGCTTGAGATGTAGCTCAGCTAGAAATACAAAATGCTCTGTATCTGGTCTCCAGCAATGCACAAATTGGGCATGGAGATAGGTGCCTATACTCTCCAGGCCTTGAGAGGTAGAGGCAGAAGGATCAGAAAAAGTCATCTTTGACTACCTTACAAGTTTGAGAGCACCCTGGGCTACATGAGATCAGCTCAAAGAAGAAAATACAAAAAGGTCCAGCCTTGATCAACTTTTAGTTTCTGGGTGATTGCTCAGCACTGTGGAAACTGAAGAACAGGGCAGGTCTTGTCCCTTAGGGTTGTGGATGAAGTAAGGGTCAGATATGAAAGAGTTTGTTTGAAGGATGTGGCCTGTTTTTTGCAATGTGTGAGTCTTTGATCAGCACAACAATGAACAGAAACATCAAAGATGGCACTGACAAGATAATATCTGAGCGGGAACTTGAAACTGAGTGGATCAGAGGATGAAGAATTATTCAGACATTCAAGCTAATTCAGAGATATGACATGAGTGTTCTTGGAGGTACCAAAATAGATTTGGAGAAAAAGGACACCCAGGGGCACTTATGGAGGGGAACTGGAAATGGGTGAGAGGTGCTGGCAAGTGGAAGAGCATTCTGAAAGTGTCTTTTGGAAACAATCAGAAAAGCTAGTAACTGGGGGGCTTCCTGGAAGCTGTCGACTATCCTACAGTGTGCATTCTGGCTCTAGTGGAGAACAGGGGTGGGAATCACACAAGAGCCATTTGAAGTCCCAGAGATCTCCATCATAGACATGAGCTATAGAGAGCGGTTTGGAGATGAAGGAAGAAAAGCCAAGAAAACAAGTTAGCTTGCTGTAGTGTAAGGACATTTGGTGATGATAGAGATGGTGGTTTTGGGGGTATGGGGAGTGGGGAGATGAGGTCATGATTTAGTTATGTGAAAAAAAAAAAAAACAGAGATAGTAAGCCTTGGATGAGCCACCTAGTCTTGCACAGTGTCACCAGTGGTGGCTGATGACAGTGACCATGCTCTCCTCTAGATTCCTCTGTAGCAGACCCACAATTTCACCATTCAGGCCCTCTCCACGTGTTCTATATCTGCTTGCCTCTCACCCCTCTACTCTCTGTTTTGAGGATCCTTGTAGATAAGCATGGAGTTGTACTATACTTTTAGATTCTTAGACACAGGTTTTTATTTCTTGAAGACTTACTTTTCTTGATTTCTAAGTCTATCAGTATGTATGCCATATGAGTACAAGTGCCAGTGGAGACCAGAAGAGGGCATTAGAGTTACATTTAGATGTGAGTTGCCCAGTGTCAATGCCAGGAACTTAACTGAAGTGCCCTGGTGAGCAGCAAGTGCTCTTAACTGCTGAGCACTCTCTGTCTCCTCTCCCTCCTCTCTCTGTCTCCTCTCTCTCTCTCTCTCTCTCCAAACCCATGGGTATTTTCTAAGATCCCAATGCATCCCCAAAACCCTGGATAAATGGATAAAACCAAATACTTAATATCCTTATTCCTATGCACACATATGCTTATAATAAAGTTTAATATATGAAGTTTTCACAGTAAGAGATTAACAACAATAACAAGTAATAAAAAGAGCAATTATAATACTATTCTGTAATAAAAGCTATGTGGAGAGAATCCAAATCACTATATTGATCCTAATCATGATATTATAGCCCAGTATTTGGCTGTGCTGGTTTTATTTATCCTACTAATGATAACCATTGGGTTCCTCTCTCTCTTTTCCCCAATTCTCCCTCTTTCCTCACTGTCCCTCCTTTTCTCTCCTTCCATCTCTTGCATCCCTTTCTTCTCTCTCTTCCCTTCTTTTTTTCCTTTTTCTGTTTCTGTTTCACTATGTGTATGTATGTTTCTCTTTGACTTTGTCAGTCTCTCTATGTCTCTGTCTCTGTCTTTATCTCTGTGGAGTTTTTTTGATTCTTCTTTTTTTAATTTTAATTATTCATTTTACATCCTGGTCTGAGCTCCCTCTCTCTTCTCCTCCTGATCCTGCCCTCCCTCCCTGTTTCCCCTATTTCCCTTTCCCTACTCCTCAGAGAAAGGGAGCCCCCCCCCAACTCACCCTAGCATATCAAGTCACATCAGGACTGAGCAAATCCTCTTTCCCTGTGGCCTGATAGGGTAGCCCCACAGGAAAAAGTGATTGAAAAGCAGGCAACAGAGTCCATTTCAGAGTCAGCCCCTATTCCCAGTACTACGGAACCCATGTGAGGACTGAGCTAACTATCGGCTACATCTGTGTAGGGGGCCTATGTCTAGTCCATGCATGGTTCTTGGTTTGTACTTCAGTCTCTACAGGCCCCTCTGGGCCCTAGTTAGTTGGTCTCCTTGTGAAGATCCTGTCCCCTCTGGGTCCTTCTATTCTTCCTCCATTCTTGCCCTAGACTCCCTGCACTCCCCCCGATATTTGGTTGTGGGTCCCTGCATCTGTTTCCATCAGCTGCTGGGTGGAGCCACTCAGAGGACAGCCATGCTAGGATCTCAACCATAAGCATAGCAGAGTGTTGTCAATCATGTCGGGAGTTGGCTGTCTCCCATGGGGTGAGTCCCAGTTTGGGCCAGTCATCAGTTGGACATCCCCTCAGTCTCTGCTTTGTTTTTGTCCCTGCCCATCTTGTAGGCAGGGTAAATTTTAGGTCAAAGTTTTGGGGGGGATTGGTGTTCCCCTCCTACCACTAGGAGTCTAATTAGAGGATGTCCTCTTCAGTCTCCACTCAGTTTGTCCTAGTTTTATTTCTGCTGCTGTGGTAAAACGCCCTGAACAAAAAGCAACACTGGAGAGAGGAAGTTTATCTGGCTCACAATTCCAGGTTGCGGCTCACTATTGTGGAGAAATCGAGGCAGAATGTAAGATATCATGTCCACGGCGGGGAACAGAGAGACAGTAGACACAAGATTCTTGTTTATTTGCTCCTATAAGCTCTGTCCTCTTATACTGTTCTGGATCTCCTACCAAGGGGATGGTACCACTGGTAACGGTGCTTCCTAATTAAGTGTCAAAACCATCCCACAACAGACCCATAGGCCCACTAGATCTGGGTAAGTCCTCATTAAGACTTCCTGCCCACGAGACTGCAGGCTGCGTCGAGTTGACAACTCAACTCACCAGTGAACAAACCAAACACCCAAACCACTGCGCATGCTCCGTTCTCATTTTCTAGCAGGAGACCGTCACATCAAAGCATGTATCATACCTCCTATCAATCCTATCACACATCTCCACTCTATCTACTTATTTTCACAGCCCAGAGCAGAAACTGAGTCTTATTTTATTATTCATCCCTATGTGCTTAGCAATAAACAAATGACTTTTATTCCATATGAGAAGCCACCATAACAGTTTCCCCGAATTCCATTATTATCCAGAGGTAAAAAAAAAAAAAAAAAAAAAAAAAAGGTGCTTTATTGGTGGGGATGAGGGCCCCAGTCCTGTTATGAGCAGGGCAGGCTGGAGACAAGGCTGCAAATTGAAATTACGGCCTGTGGTGACCTCCTGACTTAGCTGAGCCCTGTGGTAGAGGTGAGTGTAAAGGATGAGCTATAGTCTCTCCTGAACTCCATATTCTGCACATTTCACACGGCACAGTCTCCCATGTTCAGACTGACTCCATACATTAGCAAAGTCAGAGCTTCTAGCTCATTTCTCCCTGTACCTTAATACAGCTTTTCCTGGTCCCAAAACGCAGCTGAAGCCAATGTGAGCAGCTTGAACAAAAGGCCTAGTCACAGCACCCACCATTCACCACCACTAGCCGCATGGCTCCTGACAGCCCAGCTCTGTGCCAATGCGTATCTTTTCCTCACCACATGGCCATACTATATCAACACTTTCTGGCTTTTGCTTTTTCATTACCTACTTCCCTAAAGAGACATTTTGGATATTTTCCTAAATTTTATTACTATCATAAAAATTTAACATCACAGATACATTGATATTTGTCTACATATTTCATGTCTATCTCAACTTACTCTTTTCTAAGTAACTCTTTATTCCTTCCCACAAGAAAGCAAATTTTGTCTCCTTGGGGGCAATACAGTCCTACTGCAGATCATGGAGGATAATGCAGAAGCATCATTTTCCATTTTACAGCAGAAGCAACTGACTTGGGAACTTGCTTATTCAGGGTTAGGTGAATAGAAAGGTAAAGGGCAGGGACCCAGCCCCATTCTGACCTATCCATTTAAGCTCTAGGTCCATTCACTTCCCAGTAGCCAGGAACTAGAGAAGAAAGGCAACTTCATATTCCAATGCCCTTCTGTATATCACAAATCCTTGGACGTCATCAGAGGTACCCTGTGAGGTGACAGGTGAGCACATCAAAGGTACTAACATTTTATATGCTGGCTGAATATTAATTAAAAAAAACCCAGAATTTGAAGAAAAAAAAAGTCCTCATGAATAAAATGTTTTCCAAGTCAGTAACTGAGATGTTAGATAATAAACAGTCTTTCTGAATGCCAGGTTTCCCCATTTCCTGTCATTCCTGGCATCGAGTGGAGGCTGCGGAACCTGGCACACTGATTTGTTACTCCTGTGCATAAGAATGGCAGTTTCCATGCTGGTTTTTAAGCCCTTTTCTGATTCTGACTCCTGTTGGAGCCTTGCAACTGTGGGTCACCCTGCACCCTGTACTCTTGCCATATGGGAAATGGGCTCACTGAGACCCCTGTGACATGCATCAAAACAAGATACAGGTCTGTGCACACACCTCTTGGGACTGAACCTGACTCTGACAAGCATGATCACCCGAATCGCCATCATCCCCTCCTCCTGTACAGCTTCCTTCTCCCAG